CTTCTCCTCCCACATTCTCCAAACCTGACTCCTGGTCTCATCATCCACCTGCACAGTCTACCTTTCTCTCTTTCTCTCTCATTTTCTCTCCTCCCCCCCCCCAGCTCTAACCTATGACTCCACTCGATGAAAGCCCTCCCCTTCTATATACATAATTTTATCTGTATTTTTGTTCCTCTCTCTTGTCGGACTAGTATTCTCAGAATCAGACCATTCAGGCAGGTCAAGACGCAAACGCAGGCACACACAGTTAACCTTAGCTAGGTCTCTCTTCTCCTTTAAATCTTCTGCTGTTAAATTGCCCAGGATAATCTTTTGCATCCAGACAATGCATGCAGGCCGTTGCATTCTGTCTGACTCCCTTTACACCTTTTTTTAAAAAAAAATAATAATCCAAGACCAGTAGCCCAGATAATCCCAAAACATTTTAATCCCACTCCAGTAGCTTGTTTTTGTTTCCTCTTCCAGCTCGCCTTCTATCCTGCTTTCCCTGTTTTTATTATCAAAACACTCACCGCGGTAATAGATGCTCGTATCTGTTTCACCCCCTCCCTTCACATCGGAGAGTTTAAATGGAAGTGAATCAGTAGCAGGATCCCTTCAGGGAAGGAGATGGGGGGGGGGAAGCAAGCATCTCTAGGATTTGCCAGGAGAGACTGGAGTCTCCAAACAAAGACATTTCTAGGACAGCAGCGCTTGAGCAGGGGGTGAAATCTTGCATTGGCTTTGCAGAGGCACCTTAGGTGCTCTCACGTCCAGTCAGCATCTCCCTGTCATCCTGGGTTTTGTTATTGGTGGCACCCGGGGTAGGTCACTGGGTCGTAAAGCTGTCAGATTGCTTATGAAATGGGGGCTGAAAGGCAGTCTGTCTGAAATGGGGCGGGGGAAGTTGGCTGCCCAAGGGGATTGGTGTGCAGGAAGGCAGAGCCAGCCACAAATGCTGCCAAATCGCTTTAGGACATAGCAGATCTCTCTCTTTCTCTTTCTCTTTCTTAATAACAGCAAGCAGGGAGAAGTGCTGCTTTTTCAATGAAATCATACTTTCCTTTCATGTTTATGCTGCTCCTCATTCTCTCTGGGGGCAGGAACTCCTATTCTGTCCAACTCCTCCCTTTTAAACCAAACAGCCCTGGCAAAGGTGGGGAGGGATTGCTGCTGCCAATGAAGGGGGTGTGAGGTGAGGATTGCCTGCCTTGTTTCCCTTTTGCTCAAGACTCTGCTTGGGGAAAATGTGCTGATGGGTGGTTATTTCCTATTTAAAACTTCCTGCTTAGGGTGAGGTTCTCAGCGGAGCTGGATCTCTCTTTTTTGTTGTTGTTGCATTTTCGAGAGGGTCATGTCTTGGCGGCAGCACATTCCTCAGTGGCCTGCAGGAAATTTCCTTTGGAGGAAAACCTGGCACCATCTCTCATTGTCGTATTTGTTTGTGTCCTTTCCAGGTTTGTGTGTGTGTTGTATGGGGTGTGTTGCTCCATGAAAAGAAGGCATCAGACAAAAGAGCCTCTTTCCATGCTTTTCACTGCCTACAAAACAGCAAGGATCTGACAAAAGGAAAGGCAGTCTGGAGATTCTGAAGCTGAACAACATCATTTAACCTCTGCTCAGATTTGCCCGTTTCTCTCTGCCATGTACTATAAATGCAATCCAGGTTTTTAGTGGGCTGCTTTTCTTTCATTTTTTTCTCCCCCTTTTCCCCATCTGTCAAAATTTAAGCATGGATGAAGCGGCTTTTTTTAAAAAAAAAGTCAGCTTAAACCCACGAAACTGAATATTGCAGCTCCCTCTCTGGATGTAGCCTAGTGCTAGGCTTTCTTAGTACAGTATTTAAAAATGTGGACACATATAAGCGTTTAAATGTTAATGTGGTTGTACCTTTGCTTTTTGTGGGCGTGGGATCACTGTCTCTCTTCACTTACTAAAAGGAAGTTGAGGGTCACAGCCAGCTTGAATTAGAATGGAGTTGCTGAATTGTGAGGTAGACTTTATTCCCATCATGATGCCTTTCCTCTTCTGCCTGCAAATGATTTAGCTTTGGGCACTCCTCTAAGTTCTAATTAACATTCCACAAGACTTCTAGATCTGCCCCTTTATAGCAAGGGTTTGAGGCATCTCTCCTGTTTGTGGCGGCACCAGCAGAATTGAATGTTTTCTGGTTTGGCTGGCATTGCCAAGGGCTTCTTGTCATCCTCCTCTCCCTTCATTTTCTCCCCCTTTCCTCTGCTTGACTCCACTTGCAAGGGATGAGGAATGACAGGAGTGCACATAGGGAGGGATTCTTGGCTGATTACATTTAAGCTAGGAATTCACTGTGAAAATAAAGCCAAGGGGTGATAAATAAAAGATGCAATCTTCTCCAGGAGACAGACACTCAGCGTGGGCTTAGTCTTGCTTGCTTTCAGCACTTAGAAGGGGCCTCATTGAGAACTCTTGAAAGGATAGGAGGGGGAAGAGTTGTGCAGCCTGGAAAAGGGGAGGGGCCTTGAGTGCTGTCAGCAAAGGTCAGTATGAATAGAGGAAAATAATGCGTAAATAGAACCCGTCCCCCCTTGCTTCTTCTGGAAAATTTTAAATCAACATGCAGTCAGTGCTACACGAGAACAGTATATTTTTATTTTTTTTCCTTACTCTGTCCTTTTGGAAACCCTCCAAGCTGTTAATGTATGGAAACTTTTGCATTTCACAGTCATGTTAAAATGTGACTTTATTTGGGGTGTGGTGAGAGAAGAGTGTAACAGATGCTGAAGCTTTCCAAATCACAAATATTTTCCTGGTTAATGCTGGCCTCATTAAGCATTTTGAAGGTTTTACATGGAGTGAAAACTGCAAAAAAAAAGCTGCTTGGATGGAACAGTGTAAACAGACCTTCTGTGTTTGTGAACTACCATTTTATTGTTGGATTTTAGACATTGGTTTTGCAGGCTGGATTTGTAATAAAATTGCACTGTGTTGATTTTTATGCTTGTTCTCTTTTTCTGTTGTAAGCAGCTTTGGGAATGTGAGGGGCTCTGATCAGCTGATAGGTGGGTTGTAAAATGGTTGAGCCATGAGTGGTCCTGCTAGCACAAGCTGTTAGCTTTTAGTAACATTCATCCTTAGTGTCTATAGTATCTCTCTGTCTGCACAATGTAATTTGGATAGTGTTAATTTCTGCAGATGTTGTGCTGCAGAATGGTCTGGTTACAAGGCAAATGTTCTTTAAAACTGCTTCATGTTTTACATGTAGCAATGAACTTGACAGAGTGATGCTGTGCATGAGCCATGCAATCATTATATGCTGTACCTTCATCTAAAATTTGCAAAGGCATGACTATAGATACAGGAAAAGGCTCTCTTACATTTATTCAAACCTTTTTGATCAACACCTTCTGTTGCATTGCTCAGCTCCATCCCCTCTCTTACTTGAGACTGTCTTGTCAGACAGTTGTATACAGTATTATTATAAATGCCATTTTAAACAAATCTACTCAGCTTCTGTTTGGGAAAGCCTTTGTGTACTGAAGGAAACCACAGATTCTGATAAAAATATTTTAATATGTCTTCCTCTAGTTTCTAGAAGTATCTCCAACAAATGCAACTTCATAGTAATTAAGACATCAGGGACCACCCTTGCCTTTGATGGAGAATTCTGATACCTTTGTCAGACAGGGTAAAACATGTCAAGCTTATCATTCTCAAATCCTTATGAGCACTGAGGTCAATAGTTTTAAACTGTCACTGCAGACAATAAAGGTACAGATACTATAAAATTCTTTCTTGCTTAACATCTCAGAGGTACTGTAGGACATTGAGCCATGACCACATAAAAGTATTTCTCGAGTGCATTTATATTACTGCCACTTACTGAATGATAAATTTTTAAATGTATGATTACACATTGTATGTTTATCTGAAAAGAATCACTGGAATTTTTCTGTTTTGTATGAATTTTGAAGAAAAATCAGAAGAAAGATTATTTATTTACAAACACACATGCATGCACACAAACAAGCAAATTCCTTTTGAAGGCTTTTTCTGAAAGGTGTAATGAACTAAGCAATCTTTTTTGCTGCTGAAAGTCGTGCTTAGATTAAATTGAGACTTCACTAGTCAAGGTTTTTGTTAGTTTTCAGAGGAGGTGTTTAGTGGTCTTGAAGACTACAATGCAGATATGATACCGAGATTTTTATGATTTGCACACACAATATTTAGATGGTATTATTTGAAAAATTGGCTATTTTGCTAGTGAAATTTAGTAATAGGTAATTTGTCATTCCTTTATAAAGATCCAGTATGTTTGGAACACACCCACTGCTTTGCAAATGATAGAAGTGTATGTTCACTTTCAGATTATTTATTTCCTCTGAAGAAAGGCTTGCTGAAAAGTGTTAATACATTTGCCTTTATTGACATAAAGAGCTCACCTGTACTGATCAACTTTACCACCAATTTGGATCTTGGTAGTTCTAGTTATGTATTTTATAATAACATTTTGGGGAGTTTGTCTTTTACCCGTTTACATGTGCTTTATAGACTGTCACTAGTCACTTTTCCTGTTTTATTTCATGCCTGCTATTGTTGCTATTTTAGTTATGAGTTTCGGCTTTGCTCCTTGGTACTTATATACATTTCAAGTAGTTTTCTTGCATCTACGGAGCTATAGCCAATACTGTGGTAGCTCCAGTGGTGGCT